AAGTTTCACGTATTTGTCTCATGCAACTCACCTAGAACTACCCCGCCTTACTGCGAGTTATTCTGATATCATTCGAGATGAGCTACAACGCCTCGTTCGGGAAGAGTTCCATTTGGATAAAAGGGATTGCTTTCCTGTTTGCCACAACTTCCAAGAATCCTCTCCTTTGGCTGATGCAGTTCTCTGACAACCTATTCCAACAAGTTTCAAACTCTCAAACATTTATTCCTATGAAGGGTTAACTGACCCATATGAGCACGTCGACCACAATCGAACCATCATCCACATTCACCGTGCTTTTGATGCGCTTCTCTATCAAGTGTTCGAGATGACCCTCAATAGTCAAGCTTGCACATGGTTCTACTCTCTCTCTGTGTATGCACCATCAACAGCTTCAATGAGCTTGTTAGATTACTTGTAGAGAGTTCATAACACAAAAAGGATCATTAACGAATCATCTCACTTATCGGTAGTTCGCTAGAATGAGGGGGAATCCCTCAAATAATACTTCAGCAAGTTCTCCGTTGAGGCCTGCTAAATTCCTGAAGTAGATTTGGAGTTACTGAGTGGAGGCTTTCTTGGAATGATCCGCCTAGGACCTTTCTAATCCTCACTGATGCGGGAGACGATGCACTCTTACACTGATCTCATTCATCGCGTCAAAGCTCAAATCTCTACAAACGAGGCCATCCTTGCACACAATGAATAATTGAAGCAATTGAGCGACAAGCACAAAAATAAAGTTGGGGACAAATCTCACAGCAAAAAAAGTTCAAACCACGGGGGAATTGTGAGTTACAATCAAAAAAAAGAATACACGCTACTCAACACGTCATGTGTTAACATTCTAATGACCTTCAAGGATGAAGAGATCGTCAAGTAACCACAAAAGTTAGGAAATCTAGATGATAAAGATAAGTCTCAATATTAGTATTTCTACTGTATAAAGGACATTTAAATGAAAGATGTTTTCAATTAAAGGAAAAAATTGAACTTATGATATGCCAAACACACCTGGGTCGTTACAGATAAGAACAAAGTGAGGGGAACCAAAAGATAATCGTTGGAGTTATGAAATGAGGAGTACAACTCCAAATTATCTTATTTAAGTAAAATAATGCATTAAAACTCCTGGTTTTATTTTAATAAAATTTTCATGTTCCTTCAAAATGTCTTCTCATTGAAATTTTCTTATTTTCTCATAAAAGGATTTTATGTAGAAATTTCCCTTGATGGCAAGTGATGGACAAGGTCCTCATCCATGCCCATAGAAATCAAGCCCATGAGGCAAAACTAGATGAGAAGCTATCATGCGCGTGAAAGTTCAGCCTAAGAGACAGGACTCGACAGGAAGACACGGTACTCTTGAAATTCAAGCCTAAGAGATAAGACTCGATGAGAAGCTACCATGCCCCTAGAAGTTGAGCCCAAGAGGCAAAACTCGACGAGAAGACTCGGTACTCCTGAAAGTCATGCCCATATGACAACATTAAAAGAGAAGCTACCATGCCCCTTGAAGTCGATTCTAAGAGGCAAGACTCGATGGGAAGATGCGGTACTCCTAAAAGTCAAGTATAAGAGGCAAAACTCAATGAGAAGTTACCATTCCCTTAGAAGACGAGCCCAAGAGGCAAGTCTCGATGGGAAACTACTAGTTCACAAGGTACTCCCTGATAGCAAGTGGTTGATAGGGTCTCCACTTAAAGACCTCAGAAGGCTACAAGTCTCAAAAAGCATAGGTAAATTAAAGACCCTAAATGGCTAGAAGCCTCAGAAGACACCGGCACATCAAAGACCTTAGAAGGCTACAAGCTTCAAAATGTTCAGGTACATAAAAGGCCTCAAAAGGCTATGAGCCTCAGAATGTACCAGTTCATTTTATACTCCTATAAGGCATAAGCCTGAGAGAGCACAACCTCGGAAAGCATGAGTATCAAAAGGTACATAATTCTCCATTTTGTAAAGTCTGTTTCTAAATTTGATTGTAGAATTTTATATGATTGAGAAGCCACAACAACCTCAAAAGCAATGCCAAAGATGTATAAAAATATACATTATCATCATCATCATCTACAAATGTCATGTCAGATGACTAAAAATGCTATGAAGGCCGACAAGAAATGGTACAAAGGTTAAGGGAGATACCACCCCTACAAAAGCATAAAAAAATCTCCCCCTCAAAGCACTGTGGCAGAACTATAACATTTCTTCAACTCCACCGAAATGCATAGCAGCAAAAAGTAAAAAAGATTTCGAGTCACCTACTAGGTAGAGACGGGGACGATTTTTTCCTACCACAATGTGAAATGAAATCCCATTGCTCGCCTGCTACGAAAGACGGAGACAAATTTCTTTTTCGCCTTAATTTGAAAGGTCCCGTTGCTTGTCTGCTACGCAAGAAATGGATAATTTTTTCTTGGCCGCAACGTGAAAGAAAGTCTCGTTGCTCGCTTGCTATGCAGAACATGAATGACTTTCCTCTTGATCGCAACTCGAAAGAGGATCCCACTGCTCACCTGCTATGCAAGACAAGGACAACTTTCCTCTTCCCCGCAACACAAATAAATATTAAAAATGCCTTAGGTTCTATTATGAGAATTTAGCTTTTTTTTTTTCTTTAATACTTATTTATATTTTTAATGTGGCCTGACCAACTTTATTTAATGAGTCAGTGATCAATCTTAGTTTATTTTAAACCATGAATTGGAGTATTAGTTTTATTTTTTTGTTTGAGCTAGTCATATATTAGTCACAAAGGGAACCATCTAGAGAAATCTACTAAAGGGAGCCTATACTTAGATTGGATGCTATAAACTAGTTAAGGTTTGTCAATCTTATAAAAAATGAGCCCAAAATATAGATAATGGAATTTCTTAAAAACTTTTTTATTCAGAAGAAAATTGTAACAAATTTAAAAAAAATAAACAAAAAAATCATTTCAACTCATTTAATTTGTTTTATAATATATTTGTTGAAAAAAATTGAGTTTATAATGGTATCAATATTGAAAAGAGAAGAGATGAGAATTATAAAGGTAATAACACATTTTGAAGAAGAAATTCAAGGCTGCCAAGAAGAGTTACTAAAAAAAATATGATTGATTAAATATTTCTTAGAAAAATATAAAAAAAAAATTTTAATAAACAAGTCCATTAATAAATTTATTTTCCAATATCTCAAAATAATTGCAATAATGACATTCAAATGAAATAAATAAATCCTTAAGAATGAATCATTTTACATAAGGTTAACCAAAGAAGATAACACAATCATGACACATCATTAGAAATGAAAACTTCAAAATGTCATCTTCTTAGGATAAATCATATAAGGTATTTCTAATAAAAACAACTATAGAGAATGGAATATATAAAGACCTTTAGTAAGGTTTTATTCAATCTCTAAAATAATAATAATGTACTTTAAAATTATTTAAATTATAACATTAATTTATTTATTTACATTATCCACTTCAATCCTGTTATCTTGCCAAGAATTACATGAATCGCTAGCCAATTCCCATTAGATGAATTTATCATCTTTCCATATAATGCCATATATATATATATATATATATATCGTAGTATCCCAACATATATATATATATATAAGTTTTTAAATTGCCATATTTAAGGATTATTGGTCACATTTTAGGTTCTTCTCAAGTTCAATATAAAAAAGATATGCATGAAAATGTGCATTTCACTTTTAAAAACTATTGAAAATGGTTTTTTTTTTTAATTTGAAATTAAAGATTTGAGTGTTTTGTAATTTAATATTCAAATATATGTGTTAGATATATAGATATATAAGAATTTTGTGTCTTATATGAAAATGCCCCAAATATATTTTATGATAACATTAATATGCTTAATATTCAAGCTACATTCAATTAAATTACTATGACTGATGCTATGGAACCCAATGCAACTTATTTCAACAAGCAATCGACTCCTAAATGAACTTATTAAATAAAATTTAATCTTATTACAAATAAAAAAAGTTCGTTGTAATGTTTAAAGTAGTCTAATCGGGATTCAGCAAGCCGCATCTAAGTAAAAGGCATGCCTACCTCTAACTATTTAAATAAAATGATCTTTTTTTACTATAAAATGTGGAACCATGAAGCTCTTTATATTAGAAAGATTATAGGAACAAGAAAAAATTGATGAAGTTGAATTTATATGTCTAAAATGTATATATAGCATTTGCTACCATGTATAACAAGACCACTCTCTTCCATAATAAGGTTGCCATTTGAAAGAACTCTAAAATCATCCATAAAAGATAGCTTAAAAATAGGAAAAATATAAAGACTTATAATTCCATATAGGATTATCCTTGAATGAATTGGTAAGACTTATACAAAGAAATTGAACATTTGTTTAGAAGGAAAATGAGATATATGATGATATTGTCTCATTCTCCTTGAAGATTTGAAAAGGCTATAAATAGAACCATTTAATTTAGAATAGAATGCCATAAATCTTATTAGATAAATTTTCATTAAATTAATGATAAACAAGTTCTTTGAATCTAAAGCAATGTAAGATATTATATATCAACTATCAATTAAAATATGCAAACACCTTTGATATAGAAAATTTGAAAGTAACTTACATTGTATTTGTAATTCTTCATAATAAACGTAATATTATCTTCTATCCTGCAAAAGAATTGCATTAAACTGCAATTTCGGTCAGCCAAATAACACCATAGTGAAAGTTTAGGAGAAAATAAAATGTAAATATATAATAAATTAAATATTTATTATTATAGTCACCTTCAAAAAAGAAATTGATTATATCCAAAAAAAATCTTATATATTTTACAATTTAAGTAAGTATAGACATGGTTTCATGGAGAATAAAAGATATAGAAATATTATTATTTATGAATTAAATCTTTCATTTAATTACCTCCTTTTTCTAGTTCTAAAATGTCATTAATCTAATGAAATGATATTTATTCCACCATGATAATAATATCATTATCCCTTTCCACATCCGTGTAATTGCATTTTTAAAAACAAAATTACACTTTACCAAAAATTTCCTAAAAATTTAAAAAAGAAATCATCCACCATCCATTCCCTGCGGCTGAATGATCCAACGGTGGATGAATGATCAGAAAACCGCATATGGGAAATTTCCATCCATATCTGGAAGCCGCTTTATAAATCTGCAAAGAACTTTCTTTTCAGAATTGCAGAAAGAAAATTTTTTTAGGTCGAAGCAATGAAAGTAATGGTAATCCTTCTTCCATCTTCAAATTTATGCTTTCACTGAATCAACAAGGTTTAAAAAAACTGCTTTTTTTATGATTTCTGTAGGTTGGCACGATGATGGAGCTTGAAGACGATTACAGAGCGCCGCCATGGCTGAATCCTCTTCTGAAAACTAGCTTTTTTATCCCCTGTAAATTTCACAGCGATTCCAATAAGAGCGAATGTAATATGTACTGTTTAGACTGCACTGGTGCCGCTCTCTGTTCTTCATGTCTTGCTCAGCACAAAGACCACCATGTCGTCCAGGTTTTCCTCTGTCTCTCTCTCTGTGTCTGCTTAATTTTTCAAATGCTTCTTCTTCATTGATATTTTGTTGTGCAAAATCCAAACTTGGCTTCAGATTCGAAGATCCTCGTACCACAACGTGATCAGGGCGTCGGAAGTGTCGAAATATATAGACATTTCATGCATTCAGACATACATTATCAACAGTGCAAAGATTGTATTTTTGAACGAGCGGCCGCAGACGAAGCAGGGGAAGGGAGTCATTGTCACCTGCGAGAGTTGTAACCGGAGTCTCATTGATTCCTCCCGGTTCTGTTCCATTGGATGCAAGGTGCCAACTTTTTCAAATTTCTCCACTTTCTTTTACTATTTGTTCCAATTCCTCCATCATTGAGCATTCTCCGTCTTCTATTCTATCTGCTGAACTATAAAGGCTGCATTCTCTCTGCAGTTGTTCTGCGGAAGGTGATTTTGGGGTGGTGTTTGGGTGTTATTGGATTACAATATCACCGCAATACCACCAATATTACCCAAGATCATGTCAATTCCACTTATCTGCACCTAGGGAAAACGGCTCGTTATTCGTGAACAACCCGTGTTTGGCTCGTTAAGAAGCTCTAGTTCGGCTCATTCGCTAAGTTAACAAGCCAAACACGAATAAAGATTTGTTCGTTATTGTTCAGCTCATTTTGACTCCAAACGAATTGAGACTCGTCAATTATATATATATATATATATATATAATTGATGAGTAGTATTTAAAAAAAAATTAATTAACTACAAGGCTATAATCAATTAAAACTATTAATTAAAAAAATAGAATAAAAATTATTAAATTATATTTAAATGATGTTTTAAAATAAATAATAATTTTTAAATCTTGCCTCAATCTTTAACATCTTATGTCAACGTGATTAGAGTTGTGAAAATTACTCTTTGTTCATGAACATGAACATAATTTTTGAGCTCGAAATATAAACGAGCCGAACATAAGTTGAGCCTGAGCTTGCTCGTATTCGGCTCGTTTACATCCCCATATGCACCTTAAGCCGCACGTAATATTTTTTCTTTCTGAAAAACCGCAGCTTGCTGGAATGAATCATGACCGGGAGCTTACATTTTCACTCGGGAAGAAAGAATGGTGGAGATCGCCGAATGATGACGGTGACGGCCGCCGGAGCATCGCCACTACGCCGCCAACTTCGCCGCGTATCGAAAGCTACCGGAAATCCCCCAGGAAGGGGATTCCTCATCGAGCTCCATTTTAGAAAAGAAATGCTTGCAGTCACATTACCCTGAAGAATAATATATGTTTATATATATTTATATTATTAAAGACATTGAAGTGTAGGTTAGTATTTTTCTTTGAATAAAAAAATACCAGACAAATAAAACAAGTACAGGTTCTAATGTGTGTGTGTGTGTGTCTATATATATATATATATATATATATATATATGATATTCATGCATACTACTCAATCGTTATGTATTTATGTATCTGACTCCTAAACTTTGTTGTTTACATATATGTCATCATATCTATATATGAAACGGTGTATTTATTTTTTTAAAAATTAGAATACTAAGTTTCTGATGTGATCTAAAAGATTTGAATGATATACATGTAAAAGACAACATGAAGGTGTAGAGTGCAAGCATTTGCTTTATATTACTCGGATATGTGTAAAACCTTCCAACTAATATCTCATTTTCTCCAACTCAAGTTTTTGAATTTTCTTTTTTTGGCTATTCAAAGTTTTGGCCGAATACAAGAGACTTGGTTTTTTTGCCACTGAAAAATATGCAGCAAAAAGTGCATAGGATTATTTGTACAAGTTTTCATGTAGTGCGGCAAGAAAGAAGTGTTTCGGGATCATATATTAGAAAAAATATTACATACGGTTAATTGTATGTGTTGATTGTGATGCGTGCAGAAAAAAAATAATCTGCATCTTTCGGTGTATATATGCAGAGCGTATGTAGTACTTGTATTATACATTGAAATATTATTGGTGTTTGTGATTGGAAGAACATTCCGATTGGGAGATTTTTTTTTTTCAATTTTTCTTGCGGAGCATCATTTTTCATATTTTTTTTATGCTACTCTTCTACACAAAGCTATGAAAACTAGAACAGTTCAGTTGTTAAATTTGTTAGCAAGAACTTTTAAATTAATCTCGTTAGATTTAAAAAAACAAATTGTTTGAATTCAAGTTAACCTTTGCAAATAGATGATTGAAGTGCTCAGTCATTATGCAAAATTATCTGAAGAATCATTTTTCACCATTGTTTAAAATATTGTATTATTTCAATAAAATTATTTACTTTTAATGATATTTAAATTTTAATCATTTAATAGAAATTACTGCTCGAAAAAACCACCTTTCATTTTATTCATGATGGGTTTATATAGAGTCTTACTGATGCAAGTGATATCATGGATGACAATGACACGACTTTAAGAGAAGATTTAATGCAAGTTCCATGTGGGTCAATTACTAGATGTCATGTAAAGAGAGTGAAAGAAGATCTTAATGGATTAGTCCAGGAGGCTTGAACTCAAGCCTATTCATGGGGATCTAAGAAGAAAAAACCACAAAGATTTGTCAACTTATTCCAAGCCCAAGGATAAATGAGTCATATTATTATGGCTGGATATTTTGTATTTTTTTGTGGTTTAATAATGACTTGCATGCCAACTTTATGTAGTTTTTCATTTTAAAAGATATTTTATCTTCTCTTTTATTTGCTTGTAAATTTTAGCCTATATATAAGCCTTATGTCAAATGAGAAAGGGACTTTTGATTCTTGCCAAAAATCTTGCCAATTGGGTTGTCTCCCACGGTTTTCTTAGGATTCCAACGGAACTCTAGGTCATCGCCTAAGGAGTTCTTTCTCGACTTATCAAGGTCATCGCCTACATCGCCTAAGGAGTTCTTTCTCGACTTATCAAGCGGATTTCCACCCCGTTTGTGGCGTCTTCCATTGTACTAAGGTTATTTCCTCACGTCAAGCATAGAATTGCGGTCTTATACCAACGTCCTTGTTTGCGTTGAGCATTGAGTCAAGGTTTACCTCCATCCATCCATTTTACCGCAGGTTCTACATATAATTCGGTTTGTTCCAGCCTTTGGACGGTGCCTTGGTTTGTTCCAGCCTTTGGACGGTTTTATTATTTGGTTTCTTGCATCTCATTAGAATTTCCATCAATTATTTTTTTTTATTTTGGCATAGCACATCCGATTTTTTAATAAGAACGTCAATCCCCACGATCCTGTCTTGCATATGTGCACATCACTTACATGTTACAACATTTACAAATAACATCTCTAAACTTCATATATTTACAAATAGGACCTTATATTAGATACAAATCTCAACACTCCCCCTTAAGATGGATGGACAAAAGTTAATCACTAAACCTACTTTGTCACCTGACTTAGACAAATCTAATGTGCTAAGTCTTTTGGTGAGACAGTCAGCCACTTGCTCTATAGTGGCTACATGACTTAGTTCCAGTAGTCTGTTATTTAGCTTTTCCTTGCTGAAGAACCTATCAATCTCAACATCTTTGGTTCTATCATGTTGCACCAGATTGTTAGCAATGTTGATCGCTGACTTATTGTCGCACCACAACTTTATTTGAACTCCTTGGTCCACCTGGAGCTCTACCAACAAGGCTTTCAGCTACATCATCTTAGCAACTTCTAAAACCATGACCCTATACTCTACTTCTGTTATTGATCTCACTGCTACCAACTATTTCTTACTCTTCCAAGAGAACAAGTTGCCATTTACAAACATGCAGTATCCATATGTGGACCTCCTGTCATCAACACAACTCGCCCAGTTAAAGTCACAATAGCCCACAATACCTATATATTCATTCTTCTTGAAAATAAACCCCTTCATTGGTGCACTCTTCAGATACCTTAAAATCTGACTCCCTACGTTCATATGACCCTTCCTTGGATCATGCATATAACGGCTCACTACACTAACTACAAACGAGATGTCGGGACGTGTGTGACTCGGATAGATCAGATGATCCACCAATATATGTTATTTGTCACAATCAACCAGCTCTCCTGTTTCTGTACATGGCTTGCCCTTCCGATCAATTAAAGATACTCTAAGGTTGCATCTCAGCATGTCTGTTTATGTGAGGATATTTAGTACATACTTTCTTTGAGATAAGACACTTTAATCCCAAGGAAGTATCACAATTTTTCACCTCTAATTCTTTTCCTGATCTTACCTTTACTAGAGCAATTTTTGTTCATCATCACTAGTGATAATCATATCATCAATATACACAACAATCATAATGGTGTGAACACCATTGTGATGAAAGAACACTATGTGGTCGACATTGAATTATTGATATCTCATGCCCATCATAGCTTTTCTATACTTATCAAACAAGTAACAATGAAACTGCTTCAAGACAAAAAGCGACTTCTTAAGCCAGCACACCTTGCCCAATGTTTGATCTGTAATGAATCCTGGTGATATGTCCGCATACACCTTCTCCAGTAACTCACCATGATGAAAAAAATTCTTCACATCGAGTTGGTATAACATCCACCCACCATTCACATTCGAAAAAAACCAGTGTCCTCATTGTGCTCATCTTCTCTACCAGTGCAAAGTTCTAATCATAGTCAATGTCATACATTTGACCGTACCATTTCTCCATCAATCGTGCCTTACAAGATCCACTTGCACAAATTTCTTTTTTCCCTGCTGGCAACAGTACTATCTCCCATGTCATGTTCTTATCGAGAGCCCAAGTTTCTCCAACATGGCGACCTTCAACTTGGATCCTCTTTAGCTACATGCCAACACTTGGTATAAAAACAGTGTCCAAAGATGCAATGACTACTCTATGTATAAGAGATATATTAGAGTATGAGACAAACTGAGTAATGTCATGAGAACCCAAGTTTCTTTAGCATGACAGCCTTCAACTTCCTCCCTCATTTTGACTTGACCTTAATCTATTTCATCTTCAAGGATAAAACTCAATTTAACCATTCTTTACTTTATATGCCCAATCCAAAGCCCTTGTCAGATTCTGTTTCACGTGAAGCCGCTTGGATCTTTCTATTCCCACATATAAAAGATTTTGCACTTTTCCTCTGCTTAGTAGCAAACAAAAGAAATCGACCTTCGAAGATCCCATTTGTCGTGATTAGGGCTTGCTCGAAGGCAAAGATTGGATCGTCAGTTTCCCGTCTGCACTGTGAGAGCTTCTTCTCCGCTCGGGATGCATGGGCACATGAAACCTTTGAACTCCCTTCTTCTACTCCAAATCTCTGGAGACCGGACGACGAGAAAGACAGGAGATTCACAGTCCTTCTGTGTTCCTGTCGTTGCTTCTCTTGTGTGAGTAGCGGTCCTTCTGCAATCCAGTCACTTCTTTTCTCGTGCGAGTCGCATTCCTTCTGCGATCCCATTGCTACGGTGCTCTTGCTGCTTTATCCTCCTTACTCGAGCAACCACGACAGTGCACAAGATTTCTTGGAACTTGGCTAGGGTTTAGCTATGATACCAAATATTGAAATTACAACTCGAAAAAATCACTTTCATTTCCTTGATGGCGGGCTGATATAGAGCCTTACAAGTTACAACATTTACAAATAAATCTCTAGACTGCATCAATTTATATGTAGGACTCTATATTAAATACAAATCTCAGAAGATTTGATCCCCCCATTAAATATGAGAGATAATTTAACATCCACCAATTTAGAGTCTGATTCAATTCTATAAATTGAACAAACCAATTTTTAAAATTTTACTCTTTCATGCTTAGCTTTCAGAAGAATAGAGAATACATGCAAGTAAGATATAACTAAGTTTGATTCCCTCAAATTTTTAATATGAACACAATAAAATTATTTTATTAGTTTATTAATTTTCTTTTGCCTAAAAATATGTACTGTTTTCAAGTTATAGTTATTCATGCTTACATTCATAGACAAATACTAATAATAATAGGTAACATGCTAAATTGGAATGTACCCCAACATCTAAATCGTGACAAGATTCCGTGGAGCGAGAATCTTATAATTAGATTCCTTATAATGAATTTAAATTAATAAAACATATATAATAAAATTACGATAATATGTGTAGATATACTTGTTGAACCCACCCAATGAATAGAATGTAAGAAATGAGAGACAAAGAGAGGAGTGAACAATAAAACATCGTATCAATCATGTTATATTCATATAATGATCAACATGTTTATAGGGGAGAGTACAATGTGATGATTTAACT